TTTATATTTTGATTCTTTTTACGGTGAAATTTTAATTCTAACAGTAGACGTTTAAACAACTAGTAAAAAAAATCCTAAAATATTTCTGTTACGTCAAAAAGGTAAAATCAATAAACAAATAAAAGTTCCTCTCGGACAAATTTAAAAATAAAATTTTACCCGATTCATCGACACATCTGATTTCTCTATAAAGAGTTGCAATTGGATATTCCAAAATTAATTGACTTAATCTGTGACCTAATGGTGTCAACGAAAAGTTAAATTACGTTCAATGTAGATTCCTCTCGGAAAACAAATTTAAAAATAAAATTTCATCCGATTCATCGATACATCTGATTTCTCTATAAACAGTTGCAATTGGATATTCCAAAATTAATCGACTTGATGATCTGTGACCTAATAGTGTCAACGAAAAGTTAAATTACGTTTAATGTAAATTCCTCTCGAACAAATTTAAACATAAAATAATTTAGTAAATAATATGACCAAATCTGTTGCAACTAGATTATTTCTAAACAAAGATATCTACTAAATTACGTTTCTAGAATATACCATGAATAAATTTATTGACGACGTAGTAATATAGTCAGACATATCAATTGATGAAAGTTTCCTATGAACTGATGATGACACCAATTAAGAGTTAAATTTCGTTTAATGTAGACTCACGTGGAAATTAGATCTATTACAATTAGAATATTACTAAACGAAGAGTTCTACTGAATCACGTTTCCAGGATACCACGGTTTTAGTTTTATTATATTACGACGTAATAATAGTAACGTAATCAGATATATCAATTAATGAAAATTAGTATGTGCATTTTGAGATATCGTACTCGCAGCCGATGAGGGTGTGACTCAATTTCTCGCTTTTCTCTTCGTCGATAGACACACACACACACACACACACACACACACACACAAATAAAATACATTGAAACCCCGTGAACACTTCTATACGTAATCTATACGTAGAAACACAAACGAATACAACTACACGTATAAAACAGCAATGTTATGTACGTCGGTCCCTACTATTCTTGTGTATATAGTTTATTATTATTATTATTAATTATTATTATTAATTATTATTATTTTATATTATTAATATTATATTATTTTTCCGTTCTAGTCTAAAATAAAGCTATACTATCATAAGATTAATCTTTGGTTTATTTATTATTTGATTATTTTACCCTGTCCTCCATTCATTCAAGACCCTGCCAAATCATCCCTCCCTTCTTTTTTCTTTTTTTTTTTTTTTTTTTTTTT